TATTTGAGCTTATGCCAAAATGGTTGTTAGCGCTTTGTGTCTTTTGTCGCATGTCACTCAAGAAAATATATTTGGTGCATTAAGATGCATCTTTTAATTTGATTTTTTCCTTTGATAGAGCCAATGTGTTGGTGTCAGCGGGTTAACCAGGATGTTGGTTGGATCCTCTCAGGATGGTTCAAACGTAGAAATCCCATTTCCAACTCAAGATACATCTCATGCAGATTTCCAGGCTAGTAAGGTGTGAGGGGCTTGGAAGAAAAGACAGAAAGGTCTGTGATCCTGAGCCTCTTTTGTAGAGACCAACATAACACTGCCAGGCCTGAATGGTCGACTTCAGAGCTCAAATGTAGCACCAGCTTTTACCTGTTAAAACTCTCACTTCAGCACCATGGACAGCTATCACCTAACAAGTCATGACCTGTTCTTTGTTCCTGGTCTTCCAAGGATGTTCATTGAAAAGTATAAACATACCTCAAAGTCAGAATAAACGACATCTCCTGAAGTGGGTGAAAGCTACGAGAGGAGCTTTAGATTTTTTTCTGAGTACTGCTCGACCACCCTTTATTGTGTTTTTAGTATCACTAAAAATTGTTTGTAGTGTTGTCCTTCACAGCATTATTTTGGAAATAAAGAATATTAACTTATCTTCGTGACCACTATTTAGGCAGGGTGAGGCTGCAATAAAGCAGTGGTTCCCATCTTTAACTGACAACCCTTGACTTTTGTTAGGTGACACATTTTATAGATATTTCATATAATATAATTCTCTGTCTGTTCTGCATTTATTTCGTTTTTTTTAAACATACTTCCATATTTAATAGCTTTCTCTTTATTTGTTTTAGTCAATGTGATGCTTGGCCGTTGTTCTATTCTGCCTGATTTTACTGCTTACTGCATGATGTCGCTGTAGAGAGGCAAGGCTCTGTGATAAATAAAGTTTGGGTTCGGGTGCCCTTATCCACCTGAGTGGGGGGATGGGAGGGCTTTTGATATTGGAGCTGGAACAATCAGTTAAGATCACTTCTTTTGGGGGAAACAAAATCCATCTACTAAATAATTCCCTGTCCAAGCCGCTTGAATAGCAATGCAGCCATTTCATCTGCCAAACTGAGAGTGGAGAGAGATTCACAGAAAGAAAACTGAAATGTTTTTAAAGTATAATGGCATTTTATAGCAAAGGATAATTTTTGGATTGCTGCTGCTAGGAAAAATATTTACAACCTAAAAAGTGAATTTGTAATAAACTTGTGGTGCAGCAGCCTTTTAAAAAAGAGTCCAGGGATCAGCCCAGTATCACATCCGCTGTGATATCAAGGGGTTCTCTGCACATCTTTACCTGTGTGCATCTGAATCAGGTGCTTCTCAGAACAAGACATATTCAGAGACATTTCTTTTTGGATTGTTGACACAGTTTTATTGAAACATTACACAACAAAACACTGTCCTCTGGTCCTTTTCCCTTGTGAATCCAGTTATTCTCCACACTGTTCCGGCAGTAACAAGAGAGGCTGTAAGCTTAATTTATTCTGTCAGTAAATAGAAAATTATAGGAAAAGCACAACACTTCTCTGTGTTGTATGAGTCGATTGATTGTCCTTTTTTCCAATGTCTAAATCCCAAGTTATTGTTTTATCACTTAAAATCTTAATATCCTTGCTGGCTTGAACAATAAGGACTCAGCTATTCATTGTGACTTATTTGTATCTGCGTTTACCCATCACTCTAGTGTGATGGGTAAGACACTGCAGAGTTACTAGATGATTCCGAAATTCTTAAAGTTAAAGCCTTTACGATTATTTAATGACTCTGCATTTCTTCAAATATCCCATTTTATCAACTTGGTCAACATAAACTTATGTTGTTAGACTGAGGAAGTCGTTTTTTATATTTGTATATTATCATCTAAAACTGGCTTTCAAATATTGATCTCGGTATAGTTTCTGCTCCTCGATGTATGTGTGAATCCTTATAAGAAACAACTTTTTTTTTTAAATGTTTTATATAATACACTCTCAAATGATAATAAACCCATATGGCAGTGATAGCAGTAAGGTGTTGCAATGCCTCATCCTTACATTTGAACTATGAATCGATAACTATTTGACTATTATACATACACTTTACTACATGCTATACACACTACACTAACAACACAGACTGATCAAATGTATTTCAATAAACACATTTCAATTAAATATACTTTATTGGCATGGATGTGATAACTGTATCATTTCATTTGATTAAACATAGCTCATGTATAACAAAAGAAACAGACCTCAGTGCAATAAGGTTTGTATAAGCTGACTTGCATTTCATTGTAGTTTTTTTTACTAGAAAACAGAAGCGACGATACGAACACAATTGATTTTTTTACCATGAAACAGATTTTCAAATCATTTATTTGTAACAGCATGCAAATGCTCACATTTTCTATTGTTCTATACCTATGGTAAATTAATAGAAAAAAGTAAGCGTAGTAACTAAATAACTTTTATTTTAATGTTAAAGCGAATTGATTCACAAACTGGGAACAACAGGAAACTCAATGAAACGCTGCTTTGTTGTCTCGATGCTGTAGACAAACAGCAGTCAATGCCTCGGTATGATGCGGATAATGTTGGCATAGTTTTTAGCTTGGGATGCCATGCCAGACATCTTTTCAGTCAGGAGAACCCAGAAGTCTGGAAGCTTCCATGCAGCCGCAGTGGAAACCATCACCTTCACCAGCCAGAGAGTCCGTGCGCTTTGGTTCACGCATCAGTAAGCACGCGCTGGCTCCATCTGTCTGGTCGCTGTGGCTCGTGTCAGTCTCATGCCGTTTATACGATTACATTCTCACTTATAAGAATTGTCTTCACCATATCAAGGATTAGGATTTGAGATGTTTTTTTACTGAATACTTATAATACAACCTCAATACCTCTAACCTAAAATTGTCGATATTATATATTTGTAATACTTTTTGTATTTGTATTGGAACATGCTGCTACTATTTCTTATATATCTAGAACTTGATATAGTCAGCTATTGAACTCGATGTGGTTTGAGTGAAAGAAAACAAAAAGGCAAATCATATCCATATCTCATAAAGTTGCTGTAAAAGTCCTTTATATTCTGTACCCGCTTCAACAAAAGATCTCTGTTCTCTCAGCTTGCACAGATGGATACCCACGCTGAAACCAGGACAAAAAGGTTTCCTAACCGAAGCCTCTCATGCACTTTTTCTGGGTTTTATCTCGAAGGGCATTTCCCAGACTCTACTTGATGGCAGTTATTTGGGGCCCCTTGGGGAAGGACGCGTGCAAAACAGCGTAGCCTGTTTCATGTTTGAAAAAAGAGGGATGAAAACCCCCGAGCTACAGAAAGACAGCTTGCAGCCGAAGAGCAGCGTCATCTTAACCAAAACGATAAGATAATTTAAAAACTATCTCTGTCTCAAATAAACTGACATTAAATTGACATTTCAGTGCTTCAAGTATGTTCCCGCGCTTTTTAAAGCATTTAGGTTGAAAGTGCCTCAGTAAACAATTGCGTGCGTAAATGTTGTGCGTAAAGTCGGTCTTTGCCGTATCTTAAATCTAGATAGTTTATTTGATGCCTTTGTGAATTCATAGTTGTAAGCCTTCCTTCTAAGCATGTTGCTGCGCAGTGTGTACTTTGGTACACACTCTGTTTTATTCGTATTAATGTATTGGTATATAACTGGGCCATTGTGTCTGTGTGCTGCTACCCAACATCCCCCCTCCTCGAAAAAAAGACAAAAAACGTAGCTGGTGCATACATGATGAGGGGGTAAAAGAGGATGCTGATGGGAGCAGCAGCAGAGTGGTGCACCAGTGGGAAACTGGGGAGTGTGTGTGTGGTGTGGAGAGACGGAAGATAGGCAGGAGAGGGGGAGGGGTTCCCATCTGTTGCGCGGTTGTGGCGCGTGCCGAACGCGTGAATCCTACTGGCAGCTCACTGCACTGTGCCTGCTGTAATAGTCAGCAAAGGAGACTATAAACAAGTATTTGAAGATGATGAAATAGCTAAAATACAATTAATTGTAATTGAGTTTAAATGTAATCCCACAATGTTTAAATAGTTTTAAGAAAGTTTTGTTCTATAACAAACACTATGCCTATTCCTCTCCCTTTATATGCTTTGTTAAAACAGGCTCGTTACTGCATTACTCCTTTGTATTGATAAACACCCCTATTCCGCACACATACGCACCTCTCTGCGTCTGTTTTTACGTCACTCAGTCTCCTCCCCCAGTGCTCCAGGTATACACTATTGTTGATATTGGAAACAAGCTGCTGATGGTCCACAAGCAGATGTTAATCCATACATAGCGTGGCTTGGGTATCTGGTTTATTAATTGTAGGAATAGATTAGGCTTGTCACCTCAGAACCACTCGTGGTTGTTATTGTGGCTGGTTGGCAAATCATCCATAAGCATATAAATCTATGTCTCTATGTCTCTATTCTCTATCATTATATTACTTTTGAATTGTTCATTTATAGCAGTTCAACTTGGTACAAAAACGATGTATCTCATTAAACTTAAAAGTTCTTTAACCACATTTGCCGCTCAAATGTGTTGCATGTTCGATACAATATTATAAAAACAACCTAATAAACAGAAATATTCTCAATTTAATCACATCACACATTCTTTGCTGTATTTTGTGTTACAAAAAGCTATCCGATACGACCTCTATCGGAAAAACGGCGTCGTCATATTGCTTGCATGCGTAATTGGATCTTGGAAAAACGTTAAAGCTTCACATTTTGAACGCAATATAGCGCAACATCATCACGAAACTTCGCATACCAGCGGTGATCGCAGGGTCCCAACGGGGCCAGATGGTTCAGACAGGTCCCCAAGGCATCGCCCCCCTCATGTCAGACCCCCAGCAGGATGGCTTGTGTTCCCTCCCCTCTGACGCGCCGGAGCCACATAAATAGGAGGCTCTCCAGCTCCGAGGCACACTTCAGCTCAGCAGCTCCAAGAGCAACTATCTCCCCTCAATAAGCAAAGCAACAAGCAACAAAAAAAAATGAGTCCCAGCATCACTACCGAGGCCGACCAGCCCCTCCCTGCCAGGTCCACCGTGGCCCAGAGAAAACAAGCCAACGAACTGAGAAAGGTAAGAGAAGGACAGAAACTGTATAGCTCGTTTTGTTACTGGAAATGTTTTCTCATCTGACTCGTAAATGTGCAGCTGAATTAACGATTTTTCCTAATTTCTTCCAGACTCTCAAGCCCTTGTTGGAAAAGAAAAGGCGTGCTCGTATCAACGACAGTCTGAGTCATTTGAAAAGTCTCATCCTTCCTCTGGTTGGCAAAGACAACGCTCGCTACTCCAAGTTGGAGAAAGCTGATATTTTGGAAATGACCGTCCGCTTCCTCAGAGACCTTCCTTCCACTCCTGTCAAAGGTACGCATCTTCCCTTGAACCATGATATGCTTTGCACGAACTATCATTTTTGAGATTATATTCTGCACATGAAATTCAAGTCACTAATCAACTCTCTTCTCCCTCCAGATTCCGCAGACAGTTACAGAGAAGGTTTCAAAGCCTGCCTCCAGCGCGTCTCCACTATGCTTCCCAAAACAAGCCTGGATCAAGACGCGTGTCAGCGGGTGAACGAATTCGTTCAGCAGTCCTCCTCCGCCACAGTCACCCCAACCTGCCTGAACTGCTGCGCTCAGAGCTCCAGGACTCTCCCTCAGATGCAACAGAAACTCCTGAGCCTCAAATCCAGCTTCAGCTCCAGACTGGAGAGCCAGTCCCGCGGCAGCAGCAGCAGCGCAGTGGCTCCCAGCCGCGCACTGCCCGGCCCACAGGCAGTCAGCGCTGCCATGTGGAGACCTTGGTAGAATAGGCGGACACTCATTACTTGTTATTTATTTTGTGATGTTATTTATGCTATTTGTATTCCAATATAATAAGTCTTAGCAAATAAGAATTGTTGAAGATGCTGTACAATAATGTAATTCAGCATTTGGATCATTTTGTTCAATGCTAGAGAGCAGACGAGCACAGATCTTAAAGAAACGGAAGTCTAAGGGCTTTTTAAAATGCAATCCTCTTTGGGGTTTCAAAGATATGGGTTGTAGACAACACTTTTGTAAAACCCCAAGGGTTATTTTGTTTGAGGTTTGCACTATGGACTTAAAAGTATTTTGGTCTGTGCAAAAGAATAGTCTGTAAACACTATGTGTTAAATAGGATTATATAGGCCTACTGTATATTTCTTTGACGTTATGAAAAAAAAAATGTTTTGCGACACTTCAAATGTTTTGTCATTGACACAAGCTTTTCAATAAATGTACATTTCTCGAATATGGTTTTGATGTTTGATCTTTTAATTGTATGGTGATCTGCGGATGTTGATTGAATCATTAAACCCTGACGTCTCAATAAGAGAAATCTCAGAATATAAAAGGAATGAAAAAGGCGCGCAAACGCATAAAGCCGCAGGTCACCCTGAGCCTATTGATGCTCAGCAGCTGCTCTATTGTCGCAGATGAGAGGCGCCCCTCTAGTTGCCGCCAAATTGGTGGGAAAAAGTTCGACTAGTTGTTTGAGTGGACACACACTGAGATGACTGCAGTTGTGAATTACAATGACAGATTTAACGTCACCAAAGAAACGTGTTCCTGAGGACTTTTACCATACGATTATTTAAGTAATTGTTTTTAGCCCTGTGATTGTAGCAGGCTTATGCTTTTATTATTTGTTTATAACTCGTGATCTGACTATTGTCACATGGTTATTCTCTATGGGCATACCCTGAATTCACCACATTTACTAAATAATTTCCTAGGCAACCTACTTCTGTTTCTCATGTGTTTATTCTGTATAAACCTGAAGTCGATGTTTCTCAGTGCAGTTCTATTATGAAAAAACCACTTTTGTTGCAAAAGAAAATGCTTTTTAAACTCATGACTTTGTATAAGATACATTAAAGCATTATGCAGGTATGCATTTATATGGAGTCTGACATTTTGCCGAATAATGCAACACGGTACAAGAATATTATTATTATAATCATCACATAATGCCAGATCCTTTTTCCATTGCATGGCTGTGCATGTGTTGGCTGTGATTAGGGCTCTCCTGTTTGTTTTTTTAATCAACATTTTTATTTTAAAGTAATATTTTTTGGCCAGAAAGGTTATTTTTGGGGGGGATCAAGCCGATAGAGTTTAGAGTTCAAATACAGTACTTTAGACATGTGCAGACCCAAAACGTATCAGTTTTGCTTCTTGGTTATAACTGGAAGTACTGGTGATTTATTCTCTGCAGCCAGTCAGGAGTACAGTACATTCTATTAGTAATGTTATGTCTATTGTTAAAATAATTTAAAAAAAGACTATATAGTGCTTCCCATTTCACTTCTCAATGACTTATTCCAATTTGGTTTCTGACTCCTAACAGTTATATATGATTTGAACAATCCCTGAGTTGTTAAGATAACAACTGTCTACCTAAATGCACACAATTAGGTTGAGGCAATTCTTTTAATGCAAAGGCCATCTTGTTTTAAATGATAAAGTGCATAACCTGTGAGTGCTGTGTCTGTATTGGGGGAAGAGCTCTACGAGCCCTTAAAAGTCTAAAGAACCCCATCTTTAACAGAATCCCTTACATTTTGATAACTTTGGGAAACCAAAGTTTTGCAAGGCCATCTCTGAAGGCATTATACAAATGGATTTATGTGAAAAGAGGACATATGTTGTTAATACACTTTTATCCTTAACTTGTTGCCAAATTTGTATGATCAGTGTTGGAGATTGTGTATAACCAGGACATCATTTAAAGCGTGGCTGTAAATTCCAATTTAACCTTACGTGATGCAGTTCAATTTGTTTCCATGATGCTTTAAGTGAGTGTGCTTGCACTGCTTAAAGATGATCATTGGCATGGGGAGGGAAACAGTGCTCACTTTACTCCTGTAGATGATTCTAAGACCGTCAGTAATTTACCGTAGGGAGACCAGGTACAGTTGCAACACGGGTCGGTTGTAACACCTTCAATATCTCCAATCACAAACAAGCTAGAGTGATGAAACTCACTCTGCGCAGATAGATGGTAAGATCGCTGAGAAAAAAAGGAGCCACGTTTGAATTTCTCGCGTAAGATATCAGCAAAAGTGTGTTTCTGAGGTAAAATATTAACTAAAATTATATGATGTATTTTTTGGATACTGTCTTGAGTTCAAATGTCTAGGAATCCAAACTAGTATTATTAGAATCACTGTTTTGTAAGCTACAAATATAACTAGCTAAATATGGGTCAAACTAGCAATCAGGCAGGTTCACAGGGGGTGAAAGCAAGACTGGTGGTCCTGGGACGGTTGTAACGGGACGGTTGTAACATGGCACATTTACAATGATGGCACATTTGCTTGAATGATCAATTGTTCATTCAAGCATACAGTTGTATTGTTGATTGGTGTGCATTGTCCCTGTAAAAATAAACAGAATAAAATACTGTACGCCTAAAGTGTGTGTGTGTGTTTACAGTATGCCAAATGTCAGAAAGAGGAAGACAGACAGGGGAGTGCCACTTGCTCTGCTGCAGAGGGCCTCAAATGAAGTTGAGAAGGGCAAATCATTCAGGGAAGTGGCAAAGTCCCTGGATATATGCCATGTCACCATGTACCGGTTCCATACAAAGAGGCTGAGGTTGGAGAGTCAGGGATCACAAACATCCCCAAGAGTAGGCTACTGGACACCAAAGAAGGTGTTCTCAACAGAGCAGGAGATGCTTTTGAGAGACTATCTGATGGAGGCAGCTGATTTATACTATCGTCTCAGCTCAAAGGAGGTAGGTCTACATAATTAAGGTAGAAGCACCTCTCAGAGAACAGTTTAATCATTCACAGAGGATGATGCTGTGTGTGTTATCTGTTATCCTGTTCATTGTTCATTGTTTGTTGGAGGATGTGTGAAACCCCATTCAAATCTTGTTGCCTTAGAATTTGACAGCTTTCCCTATTTGTTGTCATGTAGTGTGAAAAAAGGTAACCGTTATGCCCCTTTCACACCGGCGCTTTTCCAGCTCCAGCTCCTGCTCGGAGCTGGAGCTGGAACAGCGCCGGTTTTTCCTGTTCACACCGCAGCGGCGGCGTGTCATAGCTCCGGAATGCGGTTCACTTCCAGCTCCAAAAAATTGTCGGTCCAGAGGCAAGAGCTTCGGAGCTATGACGCGGCGTCTCTTACGTCGAGGCGTGCAGGAAACCTTACTTTGACCATCCGTTCGCTGTTATTGATCATTGTGGAGAGCAGGCAGACGTTTTGTTTGTTATTATAGCAGCTATCGGATGGAATGAATACATGGGCTGTACAGGTTGTCATGTCCGACTATCACAAGTAGAATCATAATGAAAAATACGCCGGTAAAATGTGCCTGTAGAAAACGGCTTAGCAAGTAGTCAGTTTAGCTTCGGTTGCTATGCTAACATCACCCATGTTATACCAGAGAAACTTTCATAACAGCGTTGTGATGCCAAACAGCGTCAATTCAGACTGACACACATTCACTTAAGGGGAACTGGGGATATGTATCAGCTGCTTGTGTGACAGTCAGACAGTGAATACTTTAGAGCCGTGTGAGCTAACCCGGAGCTAACGGGAGAATAAACTCCCGTGGAGAGCAGCCAGCACTGCAGCGGTCGGTAAATGCCGCTGAAACACATTAATAAACAATGAACCACGGCACTCTGGAGAAAAGTATAAGGTTGGAGAAGTCGTTATTTAATTTAATCTGGCTTCGTATGATTAAAAGCAACACGATCATCGACCCGACGCAGTCCCCGGCCCGTTGTTGTTGTGGGAGAAAATCAGCGACGTAAACGGTGACGTCATGACGCAGCAGCGGCAGCTCTGGGCGGTGTGAACAGAGCGGGAGCTGAAAAGGGAAACCGGAGCTGAACCAGAAAAGCTCTCGCTAGGAGCTAGAAAGGGAAAAGCGCTGGTGTGAAAGCCGCATAAACATGTTACAACCGTGCCTGGCATGTGCTACAACTGTCCCTGTACACAAGGACAGTTGTAACAGTTGAGTTTTTAAAAAAAAATACATTTTCCAACCTGTACTTATTTCATAAAAACATCTTAAATACATTGTTTCAGTAGCTGACATATTGATAATGTATAATATAGCAAAATGGCTATCCTATTGTAAATGGTTTTTTACTTATTGGGGAAAAGCCCAAAAAGTGTTGCAACTATCCCTGGTCTCCCTACTTTTTACTGCTCTGATTTGTGATACCCAGTAGGAAAAACTCAAAATTATAATTTTGGCAATGTACTAATTTTAATGCAGTTATTTCACAAGTCAAATGTTATTCCATCCAGCGCTTAAAATCCCCTTTTTTAGTAATGGTTGTATAAGGCAGATATTTTTTGTCGATGTGGTTAGGGCAGCACTGAGACATATTACCAGGATGTTTAACATGAGCGCTGGTGAAGCGTGACACTGGAACATTTACCATATTCTCTCAGTGCATAATATCAAAGTCGAGATAGATTTGTCTTGACTGGATAGGTATACTGATAGATCATGAGCGTTAAAAGACGAAGTTTGCGGTTCAGTGGCAACAGTTAAAAAAATGCTTTTCAGTGCTGCGTGATAGAAAGAACTTGCTGGAGTTGTATTAAATCGTATTTGTGCTGGTTGTCTCAAGAGTAATTTGACCAAGCTGGTGATTTTAAAATCTACATTTAACAACTTCCTTTTCATTGTCTCAAACAAGTATTGCCGAAACTCCTTTTTCTCGTCAAGTGACATTGCGATACATGGGTTTTGATCAGATTTAGAGCTACGGACTAATACAAAATATTTTGTCAGTTATCTATTATAAATGTATTTTGTTTTGTCCGTTTCAGGAAGAACCTTTTCAAGCATTTGTTCATGGACTTTAGAGAAAACATTATACTCTCTCAAGCACATTTTATGTTTTTTCAGGTT